CGTGGCTTGTGTCCTGGCGACACGAAATTCAACGGCAATGGTAACGGTAAAATATGGATGCGGTTTCCAGCCAGTGTCGAAAAGAAGCTGTTTTAAATGTGATATTTTTCAACGTCGCGAAAGAATGATGGATTATTTTTTTTTTTTCGTTTGTTTTTATTTTGTTTCATTATGTGTTTGATTTTTATGTGCAGTCTAGTTTCGTGAATCGTTTCCCTCTTTTTTTTTTCTCTCTTTTTTTTGGAGAATTAAAAGTTGCATGAATTTTTGGGATTATATTGGAGATTATATGTAACGCAATATTTGATGGGATTCGATTTTTGCGAATCCTTCGATTTTAGGAAAACCAATTCGTTGTACATACGTACAATTGATATTGTGAAAAAGTTGCATTATATTATATATATAAATATAAATTCGTTTTTAAAATCGAAAATTTATATTTATATAATAACTTCAATATATTATATTGTACAACAAAATATTAAAAATAGAATGTATTTATTCGAAATTTGTATCATTCAAGAAAGAAAAATATTCGATTCTATTTTTCATTCTTCTTTTTTTAATTTTATTTCAAAGATCTATAATGCTTGACTTGTATTACTTTTTCTTTTAGGCCCTCATTAAAATTTACATCAATCAAAAAAAAATGAAATATACCAATTCAAAAAAAATTTGTAAAAAGAAAAAGAAAAATCAAATATAAAATACTCTTTCTTTATTCCCTCTCTGTTTATTATATTTTGCTTGTTAAATTCTCAAAACACAAGCAAGGGGGACAAAACCCTATTTATATTCTTCTATTCATTTATGTCAAGTCACATTCCGTTTCTTCGCTAGCATTATTGTCGACAACTCCCTAATTCCATTCGAAGTTCTCTCGAAATCCGATCAGGTCGATTTGCATTTCCGTCCTTGGAATAAGATCACAACCCTATCCTGCGCACTGTGCCGCATCTCGCGACGGTTTGCGCCTGTTGAAATCCTCGCACGTGGACTTGTACATACACAAAAGCGGATAATGCGATGCATTACCGATCCGCGACACGGGGTCGCGTTTGCTTTGAATAATTACCCGAGATACGGCGTGTAGCCGGATACAGCCTGAGATCTATGCGACTCCCTCAAGTAAACGTTCCAACCTGCCCAAATACGCGTGTCGAATCCGTGAACTGTTCGACCGTATTTGCACGTCGACATATGTCACGCTGATAAGACGGTGACCGGGTCTACCTGCTTGCGGATTTATCCGATTTCCTCGAATGATAGAAGCTCCTTGTATCGATGACACTTTTGGTAGAGAGGATTCTTCCACGAGAAACGGGACAAACGAGATGAAGATTTATATGGGAAAAGGATGAAGGATGAAAGGAGGGAAAGGGGAGTTTGTTTTTAGAGTTTTCGTTAAGGAAATTGAGAATTTGTCGAATACGTTTGAATAATTGGGGCAAATGAGATTAATTTGAAATGTATTCGAGTACACGAATCATTTGACTATTTTTCTTCCTTCGTCTTATTGTACTGTTAATCCTGTAACGTTATGTGAGACTATTGAGCCATAATTCTGTAAACTCTCTGATACAACACGGTATAGAATATATTCTTTATATCATATAAATTCACGTTATATGGGTCACTGGAAAAATATGATACATTCTTAAACACCATGTATATTCCATGTTATACGTGTCCTTCGATGCTATGTTATACGAACATTGTCGTATTTCTTGGGTGTATGGATCTTATGAATGCATGTTAAAGAAATCTTTATTATACGAAGATCCATAGCGTCTTTCTATAAATAATTTAATAGAATATAAAAATAAATAAATATATATATATATATTTATTTTGCAAAATTAATCTTATAAATATTTTCTTGAATTCTTTATAATCTCCAATCACTGTTATATCTATAATTAATTAGGATAAGAATAAGATTAAATTACTCGAAAATCTTTGGATTACACCAACTTTAACGCCATTATTATTTTTTAAGAACATACGTTAATTTAAAATATCATTTTTCAGAATTGTTTCAGGATTTTTTCCAAACTATGAGATTTTCCATATATATTTTTCTATTTGCTCTATGTTTTTAGAATGTTCAATATTTTTGTCAAATGAATAAGACAATTGACTGCTCGAATCGTGATCAATAATTTTTTTTACGTTCTTCTTCCCAAAGAAAGTTTAAACTTTGAACTTGAATTGATTAAATCATTTATTGATCGTTTTCATGCATTTGCGGCTTGGTTTATGGATTTGTTTGATTTACATGAACATATTACGTAGATTATTTAGCGTTTGACGATGTTCTGTATTTGTCGAGACAATATTACTCGGTACCGTTGCTAACAGGTGTTTGTTTTGTTCGGACGAGAATTAGATTGGATCCAATAATTGGATATCTTGTGTTCCATGTTGTCTGCGGATAATATTGTAGTTTGCTGAGTTTGTTAAATAGTGATTCAATGGATGAATGTAAGCTATAAATATATGAATCATGAATATATATAAAATATATATGTTTTGTGAGTAATAAACGTTTTCTCAATGATTTGAAAAGAAGACGGTTTAGAGGTTAAAACTTAAGAATAATTTGTTATACTGAAGTATAATGTTTTATATTTTATAGGTGTAATATGTTTTGTATGTATAGAAAATTATAATCCCATCAGTTTCTAGATAGAACACTGGATATACATATAAAAAAATGTTATTCAGGATAATATGAGAATGATGATAATATCATTGTTTAGCTTTGTAATCTCTAATCAATCTCTAATTAACGTGTTTCTGTTTTTCGATCCTTATTTGCTTACAATGAATTTATTGATTATCAGATCCGTATAAACCAAATTTAATTACTAATGATTGAATATGCATGTCAATTATATCAACAACGTAACGATACGTTTGCTATTTCTATAATAAAATTTTGATTTCATTAAATTTTAATTAATTAGTCATCTATTATTCGTATCTTAAATATGCTTCAATAAATCAAATAAGAATTATTTAACTTTTTTCCTTTTTAATTTAATGATATATATAGATAGATAGTATAGATAGTTGTAAAGTTAGTTATATAAGAATTAATATGAAACATAAATGACACAACGGAAATGTTCAAATTTATTATTAGATGCAACCGAAAAGCTTAAACGATAATTAATATTTTCTGACATGTATTTTCCAGAGTAATATTAATCATTGTACTAAATTCTACTCGCTAAAATTAGATACCTATATGAAGTTGGATTTAGTATCAAGATTGGGTTAAAGCCGCATTTTAAATAGGAATTTGAATACGTGATAGCGATATAAAATTTCAAAGATCGTTACAAAATTTATTATTACATTAACACACTTTTCCTTTTTTAAAATGAATGTTAAAAATAAATTCTTGAACCTAGATGCGTGAATCGTGATTAGTTTTTAAAAATTGGTTCATACAAATTAGTTAATTGCTTAATAATTACTCTCTGACTCGAATCTAAAAAGAAGTATCCCTTATTCTATTCGTCAAAATTCTTCCAAACACCAAAATATAATAAAATAAGAATTTCTCGAACCATCCAGCAAACGTTCCATCGTTATCGAAACTTTATTCCCATTCAAACTGCTCAACACGCTTTCCATTTCCTTGTCAGCTTCTTGCTTGTCGAACGCTCGTCGCTTCCACGACGGAAAGAGCAACGAAAAAAGCGATGGACATTTATGCAGCAAATCGATAAGGCAGCGCGTGATTAATCTCCGCGTGCAAACCAATTTCCCGAGTCATGGTTGTATCTAAGGTCGGGCGAGGGAAAGGATAACGAGGCGAGGGGTGGCGAAACGATGGATGAGGCGGCTATGAAAGCCAATGAAATCGCGACAACTACGTGGGGCATAAATCGGCAAATAGATCGATTAATCGCCTTTCCTCCGCGCGCACGTATTATCACGCCTCCTCTACCAACTTTTGTTTCTCGGCCAATTTGCAGTAACTTGGTCACTGACTGACTGAAATTTGCGGTTGCGGTAAGAAAATATACAGGAGGGGAAGCAGTGGCCTGGATTTCAGATACGCTCCTGGCTGGAAGTTGAATTAGGAAGAAAATCTATGAAGCGGTAGCGGCTCGTGGTTTTGCCACGGCAGAAGAAGGATAGTTTTTAATCGTGGTCGAGATTTAATTGCAGTTGTTCCTTTATTTCCTTCGAAAAACGTGGTTCTTCTTTAAGTTTTTTTCTCGAGGCGAGATCGAGCGAGAAGTAAAATTAATGTAAAGTATTTAAAGTCGAAAGAAAAAGGATATTAAAGAGTGTGAATGGAATATCTGTTTTTTATCTTATGACTTAATACGTTCTTCATTTTGTACACGATGGTGCAAAAGCAACGAGGGCTCGTATTAATATTCATCACGACTCGTCTTTGTCGAAATACATATCCACCAGCCAGAGATCGATTCATAAAGTTTCGCGTGAAATATACAAGATCGAGTCGCAGAATTCCATCGTTCTAATATTTTCCAACACGGAGGTTCATCTACGCATAAAATGAAAATCCGTTCAACGAGATCCCCATGAAAAACGAAAAATGAAAATCATTTACTTTTTTTCTCCACCTCCGCCCACGTTATTACATCTTCGCCCCAACGAGGCGACGAACACCAAATGACAAGAAGTAAATCATCCCCTGTAACCGAGTGAAAACAACATCGGCAAAGGGAGCGGACTCTTTACGCCCCTCGGCCTCGAGCTTAAAACGCGGAACGAAAGAATTAAAAAACATCAAACAAAGAGGGTCGTTGAAATCCCACTGTGTACATGGATAAGAGTTTACTGGAAGAGAGAGCTTTCAACGCGATGGCCATAACTTGGAAATCGTTGAAAGCGTTGTTAATGAAGGATCCATTAGATATTCGGATATACACCGTTGGAAAAATCAGGTTTAATCGCGTGTTCGTTTGAAAACACCGATTCGGCGAATAATATTTCGGGTAATTTTTCAGTACCGATGCTGGATGTGTCGGCGGTGGCTGGTTTCAAAGCTCAAATACCTTGCGACATCGATCCAGTGAGCAGGAGCGAGGTGGTGAGCATGGTTTTTTGGTACAAAGACGAGAGGGGAGGCGAGCCGATATACAGCCTGGACGCTCGCGGCAAATCGATAGCTGAGGCGAAGCTTTGGTCAGATCCATACGTGTTCGGTAAAAGGGCGACCATGAGGACGAGCGTAGAACCCGCGAAATTGGAGATCGATCCCCTCGAGGCGGCCGACGTGGGGGTGTACAGGTGCAGGGTGGATTATAAAAATAGCCCAACCAGAAATCAGAAGGTTAACCTCACGGTGATAGGTGAGTATGCCCTACCTTTATATTTTCTCTTTCTTTCGCTCACCCTCATCCCTGTTCCCTTGATGACCAATCGCGATTAATTGCTTTCGTTCTGGAATTTGATGGTATTTGGACTGGTTGTCGTCGCTTTTAATTCCCAACTTTTCATTTTTTTTTTTTTTAAAACATCTCTCTTTCGATTCGTTTCTCGAAGCGTGTGATGAGGTTCGGTTTTGATACCTGTGATTAAAACTTTTGTAATCTACTGTAATATTGGAAAAGAAATTACATTCTTTATTATCTCGGTGGGAAGTAAGTGATGGATTGCGTAGAGATGTGGGAGTATTTACTTTAGATTTAAATCCAGAAAGAAAGATTGATTAATCTTTCACCGATTAACGGTATATATTCTAAAAAGGAAAAAAAGAAATATATCGATAACAAAATTGTTATGATAAAATATAAAAAGAGTAATGAAATTAAATTGTTGTTTAATCCATATTAAAAACTTCTTTTTTCCATAACGAAATCTAAAAAGTTAAAATAATAGAGTTTCTCATAGAATATTGAATATCAAATTTTGATATTTCAATTCAAAAAAAATATTATTTCTGTTCTTTTATCATTATGAAATTAAAGTTGTAAAGTAGAGAGAAATTTTGTCCTTCATTTTGTTCATGACAGCACAGATTTTCTTTCAAAATTAATGATAAAACACGGTGCAATGGTATTATAAATGCAGAGAGAGAGGATAATCTTTAGTTAACTATAAGAACAAACCGTGTTATTTTAATTCATTACATTATGAATTTCTTGTTACGTTTGAGGAGCTTGTCCAACGGTGCTAACGTGATTTCAAATTAATTAATTGTAAGAGTTTAACAGGAATCGTGGCATTTTTTTTTTTGCTATTCTAAAGATTAAAAAATTATACATGTATATTTTTTCCCAACATTTTTTTATCTTGAGAGCACGCAATATGTGCTTAAGCAAAATTTACCTCTAATTTAACATTGCTTTGTGACGATCATTTATAACGTTTAATTACAATTTATCTTTTTAACACAAAATATGGTGGATTTCACAGCTTCTTGTTTTTTGAACAAGATTGAATTAATGATAAATTCTTTTAGGAAACTTTCATATATATCTATCTAGTTAAAAATATTTGCATATGAATATTTCTTCGCATTATTTCACAAAAGTATACAATTATTGTTAATATGAAAAGAAAAATTAATAAACAAAAATTTGAAACAGATACAAACAGATATCTTATCTAATGCGAATGGATAAAGGATTGCATCGAACAGATATAAATTATTATTACCGAAAGTAAATTTTTTTTTCGCGAGAAAATATATCGCGTGCGTCAACTTTTATCAAAAGATTTAAAAGGAAAGTAAATATTCATGTTATATGACGTACATAAATCCACTCTTACGACAGTGCCACCAAACAAACCTGTGATTTACACCGGCGCCGCTAGAAGTTTGGCCAAGATATTACAGCCCTTCAACGAGGGTAGCGAATTGTCCTTATTGTGCGAGGTAATCGGGGGTTCACCACCACCGAAAGTCACGTGGCATTTCAATGGAGCGATGGATGACACTTACACGTTGGAGCATGGTGATATCACGATAAATCGTCTCGATATCTCGAACGTCACCAGGAAGTTTCTCAGGGCTAGGCTAATTTGCCGGGCGAGCAACACGCATCTCGTGCCTCCTCTCACTTCCGAGATTATTTTGGATATTAATTGTGAGTGAGAAACTATTTCAACTTGTTAAACCTGTCTTACCGAATGTTTGCTTCTCGTTAAAGAGAAGGGAATAACAACTTAATCTCAGTTTAGAAGTTTTTTACTTATTAATAAACTGCTGTGTTTATGCAAACTTCGAGATGATATATAAATATTGCATGTATTTTTATTTCTCTTATCATATCTGCTCTCGGAGTTAAATATCTACAAATCACATTTCTCAAATTTTACATTTATAAAAAAGTTTTTAAAAAAAAATGTTTGAAAATTTTTAAATTATCTTGCTTTCATAAAATATGTACGTTTCAAAATCATGTGTTGTTTATTGTTTTATTATTGTTGATATTTCTGCATTTCACTGGAATTTAATAAAGAGTATATTTTTGCGCAGAAAAAAAAATCATAATCGAAATTGGATTGTTTTTTTGTATCTGAAACGTTACTTTTTTACTCTGGTATCGATTCAACGACACCCTTCGAATTCCAGTGAAACCGTTGCTAGTGAATATTACGAACAAAAGAGCCCACTTGTCGGCGTTAAGAACGTACGAAATTGAATGCACCAGTTCGGGTTCTAGGCCAGAGGCTGTGATCACCTGGTGGAAGGGAAACCACCAGGTCAAACATATGGCCAGAAATGTGAGTATAACATTTTTGAACTTACGATTGCCGTGTTTTATTTCCACGATATTTACACGACAGATACACGCGATCTTAGATTCTGAGTTCTTCGTAGTTTGCAGATAGTCCGAACATCACGAGAAGTGTGCTGAGTTACGTACCCACCATGGAGGATGATGGGAAATATCTGACGTGTCGAGCAGAGAATCCAGTTGTACCTGATAGCGCCCTGGAAAATAGATGGCGATTATTAGTATACTGTAAGTGAAATAAATTTTATTCTTTAATCTTTTAATCCTATAAATATTTAAGTAATTATTCTATCCAAGCACAATGAATCACAAAAGCATTTAATTTTAGATTAATTTAATTATCTATTTAACCAATTTTCGCTGAAATTGAAATATAATATATAATAGAAAATTTAACAATGATTCTCGTAGCCATTCCGTTAATACTGCATCGATTATCCAATTCAAATACAGAATTTCAAGAAATGACAAAAAAAACCTCGATTTTTTCGTGTAAAAAACATAAAAAGAACAAAAATTTTGTCATCAAAATCCACTCAAAAGATAGGGGAAACCGTACCATTGAAATTGCTTTTTGTTTTATCCCGATATCTCAATTCGTTACCGAGATATAAGGACTCAAAGTATCCACCATAGCGTTTAAGAGGATGCAGAGATAATGAATGAGCTCGCGACCTATATATTTTCCTGGAAATGTGTACTACGCGTCTTTCCAGGAATCGCGTCTGTCGCTTGTCTGGAGTTAGAGATAGGTCAGTGAGACGAGGTGCGAGCGAGGGATCCGAGTAAACAACAAGGACGGAGATAATAAATAGTCAAAAATTACCCTTTTCTTTACACGACGATATCTCGGGAACCGGAAGTCGTATCGAGATAAATCAAAAAGCGTTTTAAAGGGGAAGGTTCAGCGCTTCTAACGATCCTTGATTCGTTGATTAAAAATCATTATCTTCGAAGTTATAGCGGTTTAAATTTTTCCTAATTTTAATAGAGTTTAATCGAGTTTTAAAGTAAATTACGCGATAAATACGTTTATTTCTTGTAAAATATTGTTTTTTAAAATCCTATTGATGTTATGTTGAAGACATTAAGTTGATTTAAAAGTGATTTTTAGTTTTTTACTTGAAACAAGTTAGATCTTGATTAATTTAGATATTGATTAAATAAAATCTTTATATTATAATATCATGCAATATGATATTATATATGTATTTATATATATATATATATATATATATATATATATATATATATATATATATATATT